GGCGTTCGCTCCCCACCGTAGATACCTGGCATCCGTAGGTTTGAAAATATCACAGCATTATTGTGGATCCTAAAAGTGTTGCTCTAACTTTATATAGGGGCTTCTTGCAGAATTTAATTAACGCTCTCAGCCTCCCCTTGTGTTTTACATTACAAGAAAAAAACATCAGGCTGGAGCACTTCGTTAGAACTCGAATGATCGACTTCCAACACAAATATCCAAAATGCACTGGGGAGACAGTGCATGTGATACGAAAATAATGCTTTTCGGCTTTAACCTAACATGTCTCAACTCTTACTAAACTTTGTTAAACTAAACGAAAAGTAATATTTCGAAGAAAAGGAAATTTAAAGGTATATTTATATTAAAAGTATAAAAGTATATTAAAAGTACAAGTATAGTATACTTAACTATATAACTAACTATGTAACTATATCACTATAGTATGACTATAACTATTAACTATATAACTAATATATAACTAATATAACTAATATATATAATATATATAAATAACTATACTATATAGTATTTTAAGTATATTTAAACGAAAAGTGTTCGTATTCACAGATTTCTTTCAATGAGGTGCAAGTAATCTTACCTTAAGGGAATGAAATCGTGATTTTTCTGAACCCATGGCATATATTTTCTCTCGCTTTTTTACTTACTAAGGACTCATACTTCCAACACAAATGCAAGTGCGCAGGTGGGATTTCGCCCCGAGTGACACGATGCGTGTGGTGCAGTGGTTGGAGGAGCCACTGCAACACCCACGTGGAATTGATCCCTGCCCCCATGGCTCGCCAGGACATCCATCCCTCAGGCAAATTGGTACCAGGCTTGTCTAAGAGGATAGCAGCAGTGGCTCGATACAACGGTAGGCCACCGCGAGTCATTGCAAAAGCCAGATATGCATTCAGCCACTTCCAACGATACTTAATGAAGTCGAATGCACGGCGCATCCCTCAGCATCCCTGATCAACGCTGAGAGCTCTGTCATTTTATTAAGACGCGATGGTGCTCTCCAGCATATCATTGATGTTGATGCCTGCACTTCCACTGGAAATTTTAAAAACTTCGCTTTCAATTCGTTGAAGGTTTTCAATGCTAAACACACTTAGAACTGAAAGAACACTATATAGAAATTACATAAGGCAACAGAGCATAATCTCTTCTATAAATCTGTGTGGTTCGCAACTTTCCAAAGTGTTCTAGTTGTCCAGGAACCATCGTAAGTTATAAAAAAAGAGCTCTGGACTCTATGTGTCAATTAACTATGTCAATACTTCTGTAGTATATACTTGACAAAAAAACAGCAGTGACGATTTTGAAGCAGCGATCACGATCCAGGCGGAAGAATCAAAAACAACGCGCAAGACACTTGAAACATTCTGCGCCGATTTTATCTATCCAAAAATGGATTGAAACGACGAATATCCTACTGGAACACCTGACATTGCGCTGTAGCTCTGAATAATTTTCTGATCTGAGTTTTCTTCTGGTATCACCCTTTGTAACAACAGTCCAGGCAACCTCATTTCTTAGAAAACGCGCATAGTAAGTTTTTCTTAACGGACTAATGTAAGCTTGACGCGTTGGCTTTCATTCGAGACTGTAAGGCCGAAGACGAGTGTTTAGCTCTGTGTGAAGCGGGGACGAACTTACTTAAACATTAATCATCGAGTGCTTAAAATACGTGTTAACCACCATGATTCGGCTAACAGAGCGGTTCACAAGGACACAGTCATTTCGCTTTTAAGAACGGGGGAAAATTCTTCAACCTACGTTAACTAGGCTTCACAATACAATGTATGAGCTACCCATTTTCCAGAAGCAAATCTCTTTCGTTCGACGACATTAACAAACATTTACAATAACAGCATTCCTGCTCATTTGTTAGAAGATCCAAAATTATGAAACCGAAGCATTGTGCACGGATCTAGAGAAATTCCTTAGTTAAGACCAGGCCACTACAGCAAGACGTTGCCTAAGAAGCAACTCATTCTACAATCTGTGATTCACTATGTGGGAAACGTCGTAAAACAACGGAACTGAACATATAATTACAAAGAGAGGTAAAGGTGGTCAAGAAAAAGAGCCAGGTAGAGATGACAGTTAGTCAGTAACCGTCCTGTGTAAAAGGATAGTTCCAATTGAGGCTTCATTCAAGCGTTGCACCACTCGAGAAGATTCGACTCTATGCGACTACGAAGGCCCACAAAGGGAGAACGAACGACCGTGGCCATCGACTGCGATCACCAACTCCAGAGAAGACGAAGACGTCGAAACGTTAGCCGACTGCAGATTATATGACAAAATCCTGAAAGCTGAACAGTGTAAACAAATACGAAAAAGATCTTGTTCAATAGATTCTATTGCTGGTACTTCTCTCTGGATTGTTGGAAGATATATTACATGAGAAAAATAATGCTTTTAATGAAGCGAATGTAATGAATTCTCATGGATGATTACTGAAAAATATGAAATTTCTCGCAAAGAAACATAGTTGGCATATCCTCGTCCTTAGGCTCGTGTGGCGCAGTGGTTGGAGGCGACACACACGTGGAATCGATCCCCACGCCCAAGGCTCACCAAGTCCATCGCTCCGGCTCGACAAATTGGCACCAAACCTGTCTGGGAGGATAGCAGCAATGGCTCGATAGATCGGTATGCCACCGCGAGTCATTGTAAAGGCCAGATATGCATTCCATCACCTCCAAAGATACTTAATGAACTAGATTGCACGGCGCATCACTCAAGACCAACGCCCTGATCGTGATCAACGCCGAAAGCTTTATCCTTTATCCTTTTACTTTGTCCTTATTGGAACGAAAAGCACAGTGCATGAATAATACATGTGATTAAGGTTTTGGACGAGCGACACCGCTCATCCACTCACACCAAAACAGCCGCAAGATGTTTGAAGTACCATTGCCAGTAGAACTGGTATCATAACTACCGGATGTGCTTCACGTTAGTAGGCGAAGTGTGAACCGTTAATTCTCTTAAAACATCTAACTTCTGCAAAAATCTTCAAAAGTTTCATCGAAATTTCGGACCATGCACCAGAATTTGTGTCCTATTATAACAGTTCCAACTGTGCGGGTGGAATGCACTGGTTTGGGGTTGCACAGTGAAAATAAGTCCTCTCATACGAAAAGTGTGACTCTTTTCGTTCCGCACAATATGCGGTGCCTACTGGTAATCTTTGAAGCACAAAAGAGGCCAATGGGGACTTTGTTGATTCCCTCTTAAGCCATTCGACGATTACATTCTTAACAGCCAATGTGGGTGATATACACAAGTCCTTAGCGAACGTTCCACCACGAAAGAATGGTCGTTTGTGAGGTCTTGGTGAATATCACTGAGTTTTGCTCTTTACTTTGCTGTAAAGTGTTCAATATACCACACCGTTCTATTTCCTGCATCATAATAGAGACAATGTGTTACAACATTTACCTTTTAATCGCCTGAAATTATTCGAAATGAAATGTTTAAACATTGTAAACATATGAAAACAAAGTTTTTTATGAAAGAATATGAGGTTGTTGAGAGCAAGATTTATTGAATACAAGTGGATTCCGCGTCAATTTGGCTCTTCTAGGCTTCAAGAATGCAAAACTCCGAAACGTCGGCGAGCGTTTTGCTCATGAAGAATACAGTGATTAGTGCCAAAGTTAAAGGAAAGTCGGTCTTGGGATTTGTCTTATGAGAACAGTTAATCATCTGTAAGACATAGATGCTCCTCGTCTGTCATTCTTAAAATCTTAACAATTCAAATGGAATTAATATTTAGAGATGCTCAAGAAGATAACGTATAAAAGAAGAAACAACTAAATACTTGCGTGTCTCTATAGATTTACGAACAATGTGGTGTCTTTAACTATTTCGAGGTTTTCGAGGGCTTAGGAAAATACCGCTAGAAAGTGAAAAAACGTCGATCTTATCTAGAACAAGGATTTTCAGCGATTCGGTAAATGCTAAGGTAAACAACAACACAACAACGGCCGTTCTGTACCGATACAAATGGAAGAAGAATGTATTCAGTGATCTACTTGTGACAGTCCTAGCTTACGTTAAGGGAAAGAAAACGAACAGTATGACAGGCTTGCGACCATTGCCCATCCTGTAAGACGTCAAGTAAAAGAGTGTAGAAAGCATGGGCCTATGAAAGAGCCATAAAACACAAATGACCTGGCGCGTATCGAGTATGGGCCTTTGCAAATAGCACTTTATGAGGACAGTCAACGATAAATTACAAGATACTGGGGTAGAATGCGTTCACTGTTCCTCACCACGTACTCGGAGAATTCCATAATTCCATATCGATGGCGATTAGAACGAACACAAAAATCATATGCTGGGATCATCACACCTACAAAAATAGCCATTGAATAAACTGGTATGGAAATAAGCGGAAATCCAAAACTGCAGGAATATTAAAGTAATGAACATCTAACTGCAGAAATCCAGCGCACAATATTATGTCGCACATAATTTTCTTCCGCTGAACACAATCCATCTTCATATTTACTGAATTGTATTGGTTCCAGCATTTTCATTCAATTCACTTTCTCCCATCTATTATCCATATATTATCCATAAAGGTCATCGAGTTTTCGCGCGTGAATTTGACTGTTGCTTAAGGAATCTAGGAATGTCGTTGAATACTGATTGAGCCCATTCTATTCGAAGTTCTGGAATAGTGACGCTACAGTGTCTTCACTTGAGGAAGTAAACTATTCGCAGACTAGTAGGGCACCAAATTCCCGACCTCGGAGGAATGGGGACTTGGTGGATTAGAGGTTGAGTCGAACCAAGGCCTGAGTACGATGAGAACAACGAGTGAGATCACTCACTCCGCTACCAATTCGTTATTATCGTCTGTTGTCAAAAAAAACCCAGCAACTATACAAAGGATGAAAACTGGGCGTCATCCCAAGCGGCCGATAAACGCCGTGCTTCGAGCAATTGTTAAGTTTTTTAGCAACAGAAATCAGCTAACCGTCTACAGTGATGGAGGATCCTGGGTGTTTTCGGCCAAGCACATGCAACGAGTCGTAGCCCTTTGGCGTAGCATTAACCCAGTCGGAATTCGATGAATCCAATCTGTAGCATTTGCCAAGAGCCACCTAAACATCTCGATATGCGCTGCATTGCATGAAATTATTAACATCGTATTCGAAAACCCAGGAAAAAGATTCATTCGTATTCGAGAGGACAAAATATAGGAGAAGCACAACTAACACGACAAAGTAGCATGTAGTTCAAGCCGGCCGCCGACGGGTGACAATAAAGAGAGCTCTTTTCGAATGAATCGGCTAAGTAAATACCCTGCAAGTAGATTTAGTGAAAATTGAATCCGTGACCGACTTCAAGCTATTGAAAGTGTGGGTAGAAACAACAGATGGTTTCTAAAAAGAAGGAAAGGAAACGGTAATATCTTAAGTTCAGTAAGTCACTCAGCCTTTCAAGACGAAGTGCAGTTACAGATTTTCACTTTTACTATAATTAATCTTTACTGGAAGCGTGAACGTTAAAAGAGTAATGGCGAATAACGAAAAAAGCTATATCATCAACCTCGTCTAGAAAAGAGAAGAGATAAAGATAAGATAGAGATAGAGATAAGATAGAAAAAGGAACCTAAACAGAATTCTATGAAGTGAAAAAAGAAACCATTAGTTCTGATGGTCAAAGAGGTGCTATACTAAAGCTTCCCTTTATTTATAATGTTAAATTTTTGCACCAGCAGGCCAGAAGCAATTTCACAGATGACATTTTTAAATGAGCGAAATCAAAGTTCGTTAAACAAACGTTGAAATCCTTTGGTAACTAAAAGTTTGCGAACGAATCGGCGAAAAACGAATACAATCAGTACTGGAACTTACATCTCCAAATAGCCGACTAGTAATGGCAGCATGTCCTGGGTCTACGAGTAATCCATCTTTCAGAATGCTCAACAGATTAACAGCACTCGTTCCATGCCAGAGATATCTGGGAATAAAACCCATGATAAAGTTTTATTTTCAAAGGAAAAAGCCAAGAATAAGGACATACATTTGATTTTCATCATTACTGAATCTGCCGAAATTTAATGTAGCCTTTCTTGGAGCTAGCGCCAAAATTCCCTTTAATAAAGAAAATACAGTACTCCAAACGCCACATTTTGCTTTGAAAAATTGCACATTAATGCAGTGCAAATGTTAAGATTATCATGAACATGCACTTTTCATGCGTGCGTGTAGCGCATTGGTCGAAGACGTCCTGCAATACCCATGGGATCGAACCCCGCGCCTAAGACCCACCAAGCATTCATTCCTCCGCTGTCGGCAAATTGTAGCATACTTGTCTGGGAGGATAGCAGCACCGGCTCGATACATCGGTAGGCCACTGCGAGTCATTGTAAAGGCCAGATATGCATTCAATCACCTCCAAACGATGTTTGATGAAGCCGAATCCATGGCGCATCCCTCTAGGGATTGATCAACGCTGAGAGTTATGTTATGGTGAGAGCTTCATATTTTCTAATCGTTTATTTATTTCGATAGATTTCCCATGATTAATAAGGCGAAGTTTCCTAATTCGTAGAACCTCTCACAGAGAACATTCTGTCCCATAAGGGCAAAGAAAGCCACTAACCATAACTTTCCAGTCACTTCCACCGGTGACATGTATGAATCTGAGGATTTTCTGGCTCATATCATCAGAAGGAGTCATTTCCGTGAAGCGACATTCCAGCGATTCGGTGATATAGCTGAAAAATTGTAGAACCATTTACACAAGGCAATGAAGTAATCTATTCTTCCATAGTTTAGAAGGATTTACTGGCTAAGGGTGGAAATTTGGAAGAGTTACAATTTTCGCATTGGAGCCGTTACATTGTGCAGCGTTATGTGCTCTGGAAATAAATGAGATGAACTAGTGTTGAAAATTTAGTAGTGGATTCTGTTGAGGGCTAACAAATAAGTCCCACTTTGTCTTCACGTCTTGAATAATAAGCACTAAAAAATAAACAGTAGGGAAAAAAACCAAGAAATAGGAAACGTAAATCTAAGAATAAGAATGCGTCGTCTTCTTGTTCAACAATCGCGAGGTTTTTAAACAGCGTACATTTACTTCCATAAAAACACAATACAATACAACGCTAG